ACGAATAGAAGTCCCACGTTTATTAACGGTACACTGCTTAGGGACAAGCAGTAGTGGGACAAACAGGGAAATCGACAGTTTAATTAACACACTTACACTCTGGGTCACTCACTCTCACTCTCTCTCTCTCTCTCTCTCTCTCTCACACACACACACACACACACACACACACACACACAGACCATATATATATATATATATATATATATATATATATATATATATATATATATATATATATATATATAATATATATATATATATATAGAGAGAGAGAGAGAGAGAAATGCGCAAATATGCGGCAGGCGTCTCCATGTGATCGCTTGTCATTTATCTATTCTATATGAGCGCAGTGTGCGGTTGCAGAGGTGCAAGTGTTACACCGTATTTTGTGACCGTCGAAATGTGTGACTCCAGAGGCGCCGTTTCATATATTACTGGGAATTTACGCAAAGTAGGCTACCTGTCCACGTGCACGAGCCCTTTGCGCATTTAACGTGCTGTAATTATTTTAACTTTTCAAGGCAGCAAAAGTAAATCTTTCAAAATCAACATTCGCGAATTACATAGCTGAAAGAGTGGGTAATTCTGAGCTGTGAAACATATAGCGGATGTTTCGACTATTTTTCACGGGGGGATGCGTGCAAGCCAAACAGAACTATCAACAAAGGATATATTCATGTATGTAAATGAAGATTTCAAATAAATAAATGTTTAAAAACGGCATGATAGCCATTCTTTTTATTTTTCTTACCTTACTTTCTGATTATTTGGAGTTTTTTGTGCATTTTGCGCAGAGGGCTCCTGCACGTGAACAGAAACCATGATGATAGAAAGAGGCCGAGTTTTTTTAAAAAAAGAAAGAGGCAGATTTTTTAAAAAGTGCAGAATTTTTCTTTTTATCTTTTCATAAATATAATTTAATTGGGATAATAATACTCGAACTGTGGCATCTTTTTCCAAGTTCACAGAGAACAAAGACAAAATTGGTTGCTCTTGGGCATAAAACTCCCGAGTTGAAAATTAATATCACTCCGTGCCTGCTCGGGGTAGACACTAAGCTGGCCATCAAACTGCACAACCTTGGACTAAACACACACCTGTGCAACTGGGTCTTGGATTTTCTCACCAACAGACCACAGACAGTGCACATGGGTAACCACACCCCCACCTCCATCACTCTCAACACAGGAGCACCTCAGGGCTGTGTGCTCAGCCCCCTCCTCTACTCCTCTTCACACACGACTGCAAACCCACCCATGATTCTAACATCATCATTAAGTTTGCAGACGATACGACCCTGATAGGTCTGATCTCGAACAGTAACGAGTCAGCTTACAGGGAAGAGGTCAAGTACTTGGAGCGCTGGAGCCGGGACAACAAGCTCTGAACTCCAAAAAGACAAAAGAGCTGATCCTGGACTTCAGGAGATGGAAACACATGGACCACCACCCCATCAGCATCAGTGTCGAGAGGGTGGAGTTGGTCCAGACCTTCCGATTTCTCTGGGATCATATCAGCTGAGACCTGTCATGGACCAGGAACACAAATGCAATAACAAAAAAGGGACTTCAGAGGCTCCACTTCCTGCGGAGCCTGAAGAAAGCACGTCGCCCACAGCAGCTCCTGGTGAACTTCTACAGGTGCACCATAGAGTCAGTGATCACACACTGCATCACTGCGTGGTACTCTGGCTGCACCTTGGAGAACAGGAAGACCCTGCAGCGCATCATCAAGTCAGCCCAGTGGATCACTAGCACCCAGCTTCAATCACTGGAAGAAATCCATCACAACCGGTGAAGCCGCAGAGCTGAGAAAATAATCAAGGACCCAACACCCACCCTGGACACTCACTCTTTACACCCCTGCCATCCGGTAGACGGTACAGAACCCTGTACGCACGCATGACCCGACTGAGGAACAGCTTTTACCCTGCAGCTGTTACTCTACTGAATTCAAAGCACTCATCTCTAACATTCTGAATATTTGTGTACTTAAACCTGCTGTATAACTCGAAATCTACCTCTGTGAAATTGCTCCTGCACTGCACTTTATACAAAATCATAACCATGAGTATGATTATATTGCACTAATTGTACATATTTTATTCTTTGGATTTTATTGTAATTTTTTACTGTGTATCTGCTGGCACGCGCCAAACTTGTACAATGACAATAAAGCATCTTTATATTCATCTAGATAAAATCCTGCAGGTGCCCCTGCCAGCCCCCCCAATATTGTGTGGTTACTTTTATATGTGAAATCTTTCTGTGCCAGAAACAGATTAGTTTAGCATCAACAGTGAGCTAATCAGTAATTCATTTTAAAAAATGTTTGGATAACACGCTTGTTGCCGTCAGACCTAGCACTCGGTCGTTTCTGTACAAGATGTTCCCTTGTCCCCCATAGGCCTATTGGATTCACTGTTAAGAATTAAAGTGGGCTAATAAGGATACATGTTGTGACTATACGCATGAACTTTCAGATGAAATTTAGAGTAACTGAAAAAGTTGTGGGTATGTGTACCTACTGCTCCCACAATCCCACAATGCAGTTGGGGATGACAGAAGTGATTCCCATAATAAAACTTGCCGAATGGGGGCACTAAATGTATCCAAAAATGGCTATATGGTTTTAGAATGATTATTTTGTTAGGGGGGGGCTGAGACAAAAAATGGAAGCGCTGAAGCCCCTGATCTAGACGAGGCGCAGAACCACCTTTGGGAGGCGAGCTTATAAAAAGGTCCGTTTCGGGTCCAGATTGTTGTCAGCACATATACAGTAGTCCTGAAATGTCATCAACGACCTGATTAAATTGGGTATTCAGACATGTAACTCAAAATGACACAGTTCCCTTCTTAGTAACGAAGAACAGCCATTGCACATCAACAGCCTCTTCTCCAAATGAAAGATGTGTAGTTGTTCATTTAAGGCGAGATGCAAATGAAAGATCATTTAAGTTCATTTAAGGCATAACATACAAATTCCCATATCTGAATAAAAACTTGTGTGTAAAAAACTGTTCAGATTTTGTTAACATCGATGTGATTGTTTGTGGCTTTGCATATGTAAATTATTAAGGTTAAATCTAAAGGAGCATGTTTCTTTGATAGTATCACAATCTGCCGTTAAAATCTTTTTGAAATATTATACAGCCCATGTATATATTAACTGGTTTGAAGTGGAATGCAGCCCTTCAACATGCAACTTACATTTCACCAGTGCCTTCACTGGTAATCTACTTCTCACGCTCCCAGGTATAGCCTATATCTGTAATCAACACTTTCTTAGAGCAACATTAAACCAAAACATATTCTCATGTATTGGGGCATAATGCTTACAGGTTTGTTGTCCTGAATTATACTTGGGTGGTCCCGATTTTTCTCCGGAATCAGAATCTTTTTGGGTGGATTTTAACATTACATGAAACATAAACAATGATGATTATGTGAAATTAGTGAACATTTCTGGAATGCCGATTAGAATACAGGGTGTAGAACTCAAGTAGAAAATTAACCTAAATGGGTTTACAGTTAACTGCAATCATATCTTAGCCACTTATGACAACATAAATAGGCTTATGGTACCAGCATACACTAATAGAGCACACAGCAAAATTAAATAGTCCACTTTCCCCCCTCTAATTCGCATAGCTCTAAAGTACTAATTGTGTAACACTAAAAGGATGTTGAATTGTTACAATATTTCGTTTATTAATCCATTAATCTTATAACCATTTGTCCTGATGAGGGTCTCGCGGATTAGGCACATTTCACATTAATTGCTTTATTCGCGAGTTCCGCTTTCGGCCAATGCATGCAAAATCTGTGCGCTTGGGGATTATGCTGCGACAGTGGCGGTTCTATGCCATTTCAACTGGGGGGGCACACTGGAGCCAGGTGTTCTGTTAGGGGGGCAGATGCATTTGACCTTGAGAAGCAAAAGACAATTTTGAAAACTGACAAGATAGTTATTTATGCAATGCTTTGCAGTCACATTTTACAGTTTTTGCAAATATGTAGCTTGATTATTTTTTTCTGTTGTTAACCAACAGTAGCGACTTGTCCATCCTGCGCACCCGCGTTAAGAGTCCGTCATAAAAAAGTGCACAAAATTTTAGCCGACATGTATAAACGTACATAATATTTGTAATAATTAAGGCGTGGCTCGATCCATATCTTTTCAGTTCCGATCCGATTCTGATACAAAGTGCATTTTTGCTGCATTTTATGAGTTTATATAGTTTAAGAATTATGATAATTAACTTAAATTGTGCATGACGTGAACACAGTCAAAACACACGGGCTATCACCTTGGCCTCATTAATAAGGATTTTTTTCCATCTAGACCTACAAATACTATCTTTCTGAGAACCATTTTCAATAGCTATTAGAAGGGAACCCGAAGCATCGGTTTTTGAAATAGGCCTACGTCTTTTTATGTTAATACAACTTTCAGTTTCCACCCAATGATCATTGTCCTGCAAACTTTTATTGATGTTTCTGGCCTGCACTTTAGATGCATTTATGTCAATGGTGAGAGAATATGTATGTACTGGCCAATTTCTCTTCTTTTCTATGCAGTATGTAAAAGATATGGAGACATAAGGATGCTGGCTAGTGGATTATCTGGGAAGTCTTTGCAGCACACCATAATTTATCGTTATTGGGATACCAGTGTTTAAAAAGAAGATTACAAAGAATGGATGCAGTATTTTGAAATTATTTTCACTGGGGAATTCATTTTTCTTCGAGGACAGACAGACACCGGCATCGCCGTGTTCCGCGGTCTCCGCTCCGCAGAGTTTGCGAGCTGGGCCGTATGCGCTTGGCTCCCCGCCCGGCACTTAGACCGAATCGCTGGCCCAGAATAAAGACTTTGGGAAGGGGTTGTGTTCTGCTTTTGAACCCGCCCTCCAAAGACCATTCTCCCCCACCACCCCCACTGGAAAAAAAACTCCCACTTTTCTCCCCCCCTTTCATTCCACTACTTTTGCTCCTCTTTTCCTGTGTTTCCAAACTGTGCCCCAGCTTCAGCCCAGAGCACTGCCATGTATCTCCCGACGAAATGCTTGTGTTTTCTGTGCACCCTCCCCATATTGTTGGCGATCGATTTGGAAGATATTGAACCCAGCTACTATGTAGAGTCCACAGACACAGCAGATACAATCGACTACAAAGATCCCTGCAAAGCTGGTAAGGCGACAGAGAAATAACGTTTACTTTTCTGCTTTATATGGACGAAAGGCGATCAAATTTTAACCCATGAGCGTCTTCTCCTGTTCTCTGCACTTGACGTTGTCAGCGGCAAATGTTATGATAGCAAGTGTACTGGTGTCAGAGCGAAAAAGTGGATGGGGAGGAAACACTCGTAAATCCACTTCGGTTGTTTTTGTGCACTTGACAAACAACAAATTGCCCCTTAACTCAATGCAAAACATCACGCGGGAGTCTTATTCTGTTAGTGCAATCAATATGGTCTGTATGTAATCATAACGTATAGTATAAGTTATTTTACAGTGGCAAATTATCAGGCATGTGCCTCGTCCCCTTTTTCACATAGCAAAACAAAAGATCAATCTTGGAGTGCAGCTCAATAACAAGGACACTAAGTTTCAGATCTTTTGTTGACTGGTGAAAAGCTTTATCTTCTGTATGGAGCACACGTAGACAGCTGTCAAAATAGCACGTTTGAGGGCTTTGTCCTAAGTGTCCCAGTTTTGGATAGCCGCTTTTGCCACCGAGATCGCCCACTTTCTCTCCAACTTCCTTACTCTTCGCCGCGAAACAAAACGGTGTAATACCTGAGACAGTAGGAGGTTTGGTTTGCTTTCTTTCTTTGATCAAATGCTTCACTAGCAGTTCAGACAGTAACATTGTGCCCCAAACCATCAGAATTGTGGCTTTACAATTCCTCTGTGTGTCTGGAGGCTGCACCTTTCCAATGTGTTCTGCTCGATTTTTCTGGCTGTTGTGGTTTGCGCCTACAAAAAGAACATAGATATATAGTGCATTTGAGTATAAATTGCCTCTGATGAATGTGTGTGTGTGTGTGTGTGTGTGTGTGTGTCTGAGTGCTCTGTGTCTTTTGTGTGCTTGTAGTTGAATATGAAGCTGGATGAATTATCAAGTCCTTGTACTTCTCACATTCTAAGCCTGATTTTTGATCTTCAAGCTCAGTAGAGAAGCAGAAGCTCCCTTCTGACAGAGGTGCTTAGTGGCTGACCTGCACTCCGACAGTAAAGTGAGGCTGAACTGCGGGACAGTAACAGCTGCCTGATTTGTTCAGACTGAAGTGGTCCACGTTGCTCAAAATAAAGTCCTGTAGGAGTGACAAGGTTTTGCATTCATGGGCTTTACTTCTGGACCATCTCTTTGCTTTTACATTGTCTTTCTATCCAGCCCTCATTAAACCTGACTCACCCAATCTGTGTGACAGAAAATGGCAACGCTACCAGTTTTTTCTTCGTCCCTGATCCAGAATGGCAAATGCTGAGACACCTTTTAGTCTCTTTTGAACGTAGTTTGATCTCGGCGGATTTAAGTTCCGCCGTTGTTTTTTCCCCCTTCTCCTCCTGCTCGTCTTTAATCCGCGGGGCGGTGCTGTGCCATTCATGACTAGGTGGCACGAGGTTCCCCCGTTTTATTGATGCAGAGCTTGTCAGCTCCGCTGGCGTATTTATTTACTCGCAAAGGGCCGAACAGCCTGAATCCGATGAGAAGTTTCAAAATGCCAGAGTGGGAATATGTGTCTGCATGAGGAGAAAGATCCTTATTTGACTGCTCTTTTCAATCTCGTTTTTGCGTTTCTGCATAAATCTCATCCAAACTTCAGCTGTAGCCTATTATTATCTTTTCTAGTATGTGGTGGTTGTGAGAGAGATGGTTGATTATTCTTACTGTATGTCCTACAATTAAATGTTATTTTAGGCCAGGCAGCTTTCATACCTTCAGCACTACAATATAAGCTTGTGCTTACCTTGTAATGCTACTCTTTTATTGTGTTTACGTTAAATCAAATCAAAGGCAATGTGCCAGTAAAGGTCAAGCACAAGAATGACTTAAAATGGTTTCTCCTTTTTATGCCATAGAGATTTTATTGAAAAGTAGCTTTGCCTTCATTGGGTCACAGTCTACTGCTATGTTGGATTACAGGTTTGATTTATGTGAAAGAAGATGGGGAAACAGTTTGATCAGTTAAGTGCGGGCATTTGCTGTGAGGGCATGTGGGATGCTGTGAATTCCATTTTGGGTCAAGACTTAATGTTTGCTTGATGTGGCTACATTTCAGATACGTTTGGCAGCAGCAAATATCCTGGTATCAATATCGCGATACCAAAAATTAAACAATGCAATTCTATCATTTTGATAAAAATGTGTTATGCGTCTCTATCGGACACATCAAAATAGGAAGATACGTCACGTAGTGGGTGTGCCAAATTTGCACGTCGGGGAGAGACAGTCACATTCATTTCATGTGTGTCTTGTGCGAAGAGGCTACAGCGATGAGAGATTGAAGTCGTTGCCCACTGCTCACGTCTATCTGATAAGCGGTGGTGAATGTGCAGACTAGCTGCTCTGCCACAAGGGGGCAGCACATCTGACATCTTAATCAGGGGTAGGCAACCCTGATCCTTCAGTGCCAGTGTCCAGCATCATACCTGATGACTTACTATCTGCCTGAGATCAGGTGTGGTTCCTCAGAGACCAGGTAGGATAGAAAAACCTGCCTGATACTGGCAGTTCAAGATCTACATTTATATAAGGAGTTTAATGTTCATTAGGTGCGCATGATAACAGATAACAGATATAAAACACACAATTGCAATGTTATTTATTAGTTATTATGTTTGCTATTTCAGTTTCACGTCATGCCACGTTTAGCCTACAAATCTCTCTCCCCAGCAACATAAAACAGGCCAGGCTAAATGATGAACAGAATGAGCAGCCTAACATTAATGCATTATCCATGAGATTTTGTAACAGCTTAGGCCAGATTAATACCAGAATCTATGCACTGATAGTTTAATTGATCTATACATATTTCATTGATAATGTAAAAACTATATTATAGGATGAAGCTGGATGAATTATCAAGTCCTTGAACTTCACATTCGTAAATAGGCATGTTTATTTCAAAGCAATATAATATTTAAATGGGAATGTTGTACAGTATCGATTTGGTAATGTTACTGAAGTACTAAGCTGGTATCTGTATTGAAGTCAAAATCTTGGTATCGATCCACCTGTAGCAGCATTGATTATTAGCATTGATTATTCAGTATAATATAAAGAGAAAGGTAATTAAAGAAACAGATAAATGGTGAAACCCCAAAACAGGCAGGTTAGATGCAGGATGGTATAGAGGCTGTGTTTTTTCAGCCCTGTACACTGGAACCTTGCTTCAGGAGTGACACGTTCAGGTGATGCTAGACTCTGTTCAGCATTAACAGTGTTTTTTAAAAAAGCTGAACATCTGCTACCTCATATTTGCACTTGTAATGAGTGTGATAATCTTCACCATCAGTTCACATTGCCACTTCTTCAAATAAAGCTGTAATAATTACCTATCAGGAATAATAGCAAGGAAGTCTGTCACAACAGTGTGAGAAATAGACATCAGTCTTCAAGATTAGTTGTTTTAAAAAGCATTTTTTCCTAATGTGATCTCTAATAACAAGAATATGATTAATCTTAGAGCAGTTAGAGGAGATAATGACCCTGAATTATAGGTCTCTTATGGATATGATCTTTGAAGAAATGATTAACATCTCAACTCTTGCGTCAGTATTTTTAATTATACAGTCTAAATGTTTCTCATTTTTTATCCTCAGAAAACAAGCAGATATAATCAGATGCTTAGCAACGAAATAAAGAGTATAGAAGAATGTGAATCCACTGCTGCTTAAACATATTGGCAGTAATGTGCATGTTTTGAAAGTGTAAACCCCTGGCAATGAATGACTGGAACCTTCCAGATGTACTTCAGTCAGTTGTACAGTTGTAATCAGTTAATAACAGAAAAAGCTATTTGAAAAACCAAGATATATTCAACCACATTTGACATTCTACTGCAGTGGAGTTCTACATTACAGTTTCATGGTTAAAAACTCCTTATAGTTGTATGTTTTAATGCTTCAATAAGATTCTGTGTAACTGTAAGTACATAAAAACCTTGTTCTAAGTAACTTGCACCCAGCCTTATTGTCTGGTTTGGGGCCTCTGCTGTTTTCAGGACTCTTAGGTTAACCAGCTATTCAAATAATATTTCGTCCTTATAGTTCAGCCTGGGTGAACAACTCGGTAACCTTTTAAAAACTCTGGTTTGTTTCTGATGACGTAAAATAACATCAGAAATCAATTTAATATCCACAACCCTGAAATAATATCCACAACCCTGATGAAGTATTTTGAGTGTGTCTTGATGTGGCAAAACAGGAAGTAGAGTCTCGGAGTTGGTGATTCTCGGGAGAATCCTCCGGGAAACATGCATGCCTGTCTTTATCCCCCTCGGTAGCGGAGTGTGAAGCTAATTATATCCACACATGATGAATAATAAACAGAAACTGGTAATGGAAAAATAGTAGCTTTTTTTAGAAGCAGATATTTAAAATTCACAATACTCAGCTAGATATTTAATTGAACATAAAATCTTTTGCTGAAGGGTTTGATGAGGGATTTGAAATAGAAGCCTTCATTTGCCTATTTTCCGCAATATGTTCTACTTTAGATATTGCATTCAATAAAAGATTATCCATCTATCCATCCATCCATCCAAGGCTGGGAGACTGACATGGCATAAGCTGAGGAAAGGTTTTACTAAATAGAAGCAATAGTGATTCATATAGCGTATGGCTGAAGCACGCTTAGGTTTACTAGTGACCCGGTACTCTATTACTGACAGTCAGTGGCAGACATTCTGGAATGTTCTGCAGGTTATCGTCCAACAGAACATGCCAACGTGTAGGCATTCTGTACCCGACAACCTTCAGCAAAGCACAACACAGTTAAGGGCCTTGGTTCAGGTTGAGAAGGACCTCACATTTGTTCTTAACTGTCAAGGCGATGCGCCTCTGACAGTTTAAATATGCAAGTGTAAACTTACCAGCCTGTTTCAGCTGCTAGAGGGATGTGTGAGTGCAGGTGGAGGTGTCAAGGTCTTCACATAATCACCTATGTAGCTTGTTATTCTGATAGACCGTTATATGTTGGAGTCTTTTTGCTGGAAATTAGTACTGTATCACTTCTTGGGCAGAAGAGTAGAAGTATACAGATAAATACCCTGATTAATAGCGGAGACTGGATGCGATACTGGCCTTCACACAACCTGTAACAAATTGAGTTTGATGACAAACATCCATTCTGTTTGTTCTATGGAGGGATATTGGCTGTCAATACTCATGTGGTTCCCCAATGGTGAAATGAGCTGCCAAGCCACAATCGGTCATCAGACTCCCTCTCCACCTTCAAGAAGCACCTCATGACCCATTTGCTCCAAGAATTTCTCTACTAGCTACACCACTCCATGTTGCCTGAATGTTCTTATTGCACTTCTCTCCTTGATTAGTCTTATTAGGTTCTTGTTGGTTAGAAGTTGTTGTGTAGCTCCTGCTCCCATACTGCTTACACATGTACCTGGGCTTTCACTGGAAGCTCAGCGAGCTGCACTTATAACTCTTTCCCCCTGAGCGTCAGATGGCTGACCTGTGACTTGTACGTCACTTTGGAGAAAAACGTCTGCTAAGTAAAATAAATGTAATTTTGAGGTGCAGTAATTGGATCTGCATTTCAAGGAGCACGGGAGCAATTTGATAAATTCAGACAAAGATTATCACAATAAAAGGATGTGAATGGAATGTCTGGACAAAAGCTGGCCCACGGAGCTGTTACTGGCCTGCGCAATCATTAAAATAAGTAAGAAAAGGTTTTAAAATCTAAGAAGATGAACATTTTTGCTCAAAAATCTTACATTTCTTTATTTGACCTTCAAGGTTTTGGTTATTCATGAGTTGGCCCTGAACAACTAAACGGGAATAGGAAGGAATTTTTAAACTTTTCAGTGGCATTAATTTTGCATCTGTAATAATGGGTCCAAAACATAGTGCATCCAGTATGTACAGTAGTATCTTTGTATATTCATGGGCCAGAACTTAGATGGATTGTATATTACATGAAAATGACTGGATAACAAATGACAAGGCAATTTAACATGCAAAGTGTACAGCACTGTACCATTTGTTTAGTAATTGGTAATAAATAGACTTTTTATGTGATTGTTCAGGCTAGCAGACTGTTATGGGTTGAGGTGCCCAAGTGTAAATTCAGAATTTGTGGGGATCTGCTGCCCCAAACCCACAGGTTTTACTGTAATAAAAAAATATACATTAGCCATGAATTATGCACTGCTTCTATTGATCTGTCTGTATTTTTCAAATGGGAGAAGTAAAATCTAAGTCCATTATAGTAGCTGTCACGGACATGAAAATCATAAAAACTGAGCCCTGCTGACAGGGCGAAGGTTGGCTTTGGCCCCCCGCAGAACATAACTGGCCAGGCCTGGTCTAGCATCTGGCCAGCTGGAGCTGGAGGCGGGACTTATGTTTACTCGATTTGGAGCAGAGATGCACTGTGTAGGTTTAAAGCCACCATAATGAACTCTTCAGATTCAAGGCTAGTGTTAATTTCGTCAGACGAGACGAGACGAAATATGTTCGTCAACGACCTTTTTTTTCATGACTAAGACGAGACGATGACAAGACTGCACCACTGTCCAAAAACGCTGACTAAGACTAAATTAAAAATAGGTGACGAAATTAACACTATTCAAGGCAAAATAATTAGTTTCCTGAATGTCCACAAAATGGCCCAAAAAGGAAGCTGGCATGCTACTCCGCGCTGAAGCAAGGCATCTTGGGAAAGTGACCTCTGATGTGACTCTGAGCTGATGAGTTCCTGCTCTCTGGCTCTGAAGTTACATTTTTACTAGACCAAGTCAGGAACCCAAACCAGTCCTCAGATAGCTGACCCACTTGTGTGTGTGCATAACCCAGATGACTGACCACGTTTCTGGTGGCCCGGCCTGCCTTGCTTTCCTCTAGGGGCGGTCCAGCCTATGGGAGGTTATTTGAACAGTGTGTGTGTGAGGGGGATTAATTTTGGGTAAAAACCCGCTGTGTCGCCGTGACGACTATGGAATGCTGGGGAAAACGAGTCCTGTGGCTTTGCATGCGCGGCACGTGGCTTCTGTTGATTGCCCCCCCCCCCCATCCCCCCGACTGGTAACTTTCACACAAGCTCTGGCGTTGACTGGGAATATGCTGCTGGCTTGTCTGAGGGTCTGGAGGGATATACAGATTGATGGATTGAATGATGAATGAGTTTGTTGATGGATTGATGGATAGTTTTGTTGACTGGTGCGTTGCTGGATGATGGATTATCGAAGGCAAAGTTGACTCCCACTGCTTGTAATCATACACTTCTTCCCATTTGTACCCATATGAATCTGGTTTGTCTTCCCTTGGGTTACTGTGTAATGCTACAGGTAGCATACAGTGAGAGTTTAGCTGCGAAACGCTTGTGTAATATGAGGCTGATCTGTGACAGCTGCAGCCAGGTGTGAACTTCAGTTCCTTTAGAGATCAGTGGATGCACTTCCCCCTGCAATGCCCTCAATGCTGTAAATCCACTGACAAAAGGCTGCCAGACAATGGTGGCAGCATCGTACTGCTGAGCTATTCATGCAGGGTTAGCCCCCTTCCCTCTCCCCAGCGCCCACGCATCCCTGTCAAGGGACACCTTTTGAGCACAAGGGGCCTGAATCCCAGTGTAATTAAACAGATGGCTAATTATTAGCTGGTATCCTTGTATTCTTGCCTGCTAGCTTACCTGCCTGTCTTCCCCAGCATCTTTACTGCCCTGAAATATCCCTTGTAGGTGAATAGTTGAGTTGGGAGGCTCACTGACGTTATCCTGGCTGGAATTAGGTGTCACACTGGTTTCTTTTTCTCTCTTGTTTAAATGCATATCAGTGAAGCGATTGGCACTGGGGCCACATTGTAGCAGGAAACTATGGCAAAATAAGCTCAAATTCTCACTCCCCCGGCAAGCGTTACATGAGTTCTCTCAGGGAGCTGCGGCTCTGATCCGATGGTTCATTATCACCCCCACCCCGGCCCACCACCTCTGCTGGTCGGACCTTGTAGCTCCAGCATTATATACGTTACTCAGCCTAGGTGCTTGATGGAAGAAGGACGCCAGTGTGCCTGCGCGTGGGTATGCAGGCAGCCCAGGGGTGTCGTGGAGTTGGGGGGCGAGGTGTGTGTTGTAGAGGTGGGGATGTGGAGAGAGCTGAGCAGGTGTGTCATCAGTTTCTTGCTCTCGTCCCACTCCCTGCGCTGATTGGCTTTCGCTGGCGTGGATGGCTGTGTGTGGAAGACCTTAATGGCTTCTGTCGTGGACCTGTCCATCCACTCGGCCCTAAATAGCACCTTAATCCCCAGGACCACGGTCGCTTGGGCCCCAAAGTGAAATATCGCCAGTTCATTAAGGAATGCCCACTGCTTCACTGAGTCCTCTCCTCCTGACAGTTACCATCTGAGGATCCTCAGTGAAGGGAGTTTCATGCTTCAGCAGTTGGATGATAACTCAACTGCAATTAGTAAAGCAATGTACAGTAAATTAGATTTTTAATAAGTGTGTTGATTAAACCCCTGGAAGTTTTAATCAGTTAATTGCCATAATCTGCTGTTTGTAATTCATACACTTCTAATGTGTTTTATCATCTAGCAAATATTGCTGATTGAACAATAATGTGATAATATGATCTTCATGCTGGTCTCATGCAAATGGGGTGTTGTAGATGCATTTCTCTGCCTGTCCTCTCTCTGATCCTGTCTTTATATGCGTCTTTCGTGTGCATGTGTGAGCCTCTCTCTCTCTCTTTCAGCGTGCCTCTGCTTTTGATTGTTTGTGGTTGTGTATCTCTCTCTGTGGTTGTTTGATTGTCCATGTTTCTATTCACGTCTTATTGACTTTGGTAGTTTCTCCGGGTGACCGCTTGTCTCTCCGTCGCTCCCAGCTGCATATCTTGGTGACATCGCTTTGGACGAGGAGGATCTCCGGCTCTTCAAGTTGGACGATGTCGAGAAGGAGGCGACTGTCAACCTCACTGGCCCAGGTGAGTCTTGGCTGCAGATCAGGGGTTAGATGATAACTTTCAGCACAGTGGTTTCTTTCAAAGCACCAGATCGATGTTTCTCTTGCCCAACTTGAACGCTCCTGTCTGAGAAACATTTTGGCAAAGTTGAGGAAACTCAGGATAACCAGTGTCCGCCCAATCTACCGTGTCTTGGTTTAGGATCATGGCTGAAAGTTGCCTTCTTCCTTTGTAGAGTCTTTGATAAATGGGACCAGTCCTAATGGGCCAAGTGACCACAGCTCCCTCCGTAAGAAACGGGCGGCGACCTCCAGGATGGAGAGGGTGTGGCCTGAGGGCGTCATTCCGTATGTCATCAGCGGGAATTTCAGCGGTGAGTTTTGAGGCCGAAGCACGTCGGCAACACAAACATGAAGCCCGGAGTCTCCAAAATCATCCAAAAACATTCATTTTAACTTTTCTGGCCAACAAGCTCTGAGCTTGTTAGAAATTCAGGCCAGGTAGGTCATCCGAAGGTATAAGGGATGGTCGCCCCATCATACCTGCTGCTTCTTCAGCCCAGGTCTGCTGCCTCATCTAAGGAAATTGCCGTGAATTACAGACATGGGTGAGGAACAAGGAGGAGTGCTTTAATGGGGCAAAAATTTCCTGCAGGACGGCTGTGGGGTTCTGGACTCAGGAAGTGACTCATAGATAAATATCCTTTTAGTGGTTTGTACACAGACACAAAAGTGGATGAACATAAATGCACAAACAAAAAATCATCTGAACAAGAAAACCCCACCCCCCTCCTGGTGTAACTCCTCTGTGCAGTTATATTGTACACTGGAGGCCAAAATCATGGAAACACTTCCAATTTTTAGAGACTGCAGAACTTTATTCAACTGTTGCTCCAGTTATTTATTTAATCATCCAATGTATGTAATTTGTAACATTCTTTGATTGTTTGTGAACATTACAGTCAATAGTAATTTTTAAAGCCTAATTCCAAAAACACTAGGTGTTTTCACAGTGTATATTACATGCAATTACGCTTTATTTGCCATTAGTAGAAGTATGAGTATTGGTACATTTACATTCTTATTTAGTGAAGCTTGGATTCCAAACGCAGGGTCAGCTGGCCTGCAGCCACCCTGGGTCAATCAGGGCTTAAGAGCCTTGCTGAAGGACCCAATGGCAGCATCAGTCTGCCGGTCCTGGGATTCAAACCAACAACCTTCTGATCATCACTACTAACCCAAGTCCTAACCTGCTGTACTTTATTATTGATGTGACTCTTGTCCCGTACCTGGCTTATCCTCACTCCCCTGGGTAGTTCTGCTGAATCATTCAGCATTTGGTATCCAGTTCAAAGGTAAAACTTCTGTGAATCAGCAGCCCTTCAGTCCCTCGAGATCCTGAGTCCCTTAACTTCTATACCTCTGTACCATAAGTATGTGGTAACAGTTTGTTTTGAGCGCTTGCAGCTCGGGGGGAAAGACATCAGCCTTAGGTGATGCAGGGTGCCGGGGGGGTGGGGGGGATGTTGAGATGATGATGGTCATCCCACTCATCAGTGATTGTTCATCCCACTCCAGGCAGCCAGAGGGCGATATTCCGGCAGGCCATGCGTCACTGGGAGAAGCACACCTGCGTGACCTTCGTCGAGAGAACAACAGAGGAGAGCTACATCATCTTTACATACCGACCATGCGGGTGAGCCTATGCCACAAATAAAACTCCTGCAGATGCCTCCAAACCACAAGTCTTCTAAACTGCAATAGTGTTGTCATTATCTCATAGATATTTATGCTAAAATTAAATTTTTATCCCTACAATTCGAAGGTTATAGAGAAATGAAATTACAGGTGGTAAAAAAAATATAATTGTTTCCTAATCTGATTCCTCTGTTGCTCTCAGCAGTTAGTTAATTAAACTTGACTAAAGTCTTTATTTAATGAAAATAGCTTAAACTGTAATTAAATCACTTTGCATTAGCTACAGACTTGCTTCAGCTATCTAATAATCTACCCATCTTCCATGCTGCAAATTTAGGCGACGTTTTCGGTGATTTCTAATGGCAAAAAAACAAAACAAATTAGGATTAATTATAGTGGGGAAAACATGACTGGATGTTTCTAAATATCTGTTCCCCCTAGTTAAGAAAGCAGCATTCATTGTTCTTAGCGTGTTCTTTCGCTGTTTGGAAGCAGCAGATCACCAGGCATCAAAGCCATTACTCTTTTGGTCCACAAAACCTGTTCACAATAGGTGATAAAGGAATGAATATTTAAAAAGTCATTTCAGAATTTCCTTTAGTGGAAATAATCTAATTTGCACAAATGGATAGCAATACAATTACAACAGTTTACTCAAATGCAACCCCAAAAATGTATTATACAGTATACTAATGTTAATCTTCAATACGTATTATATTTGTGAGGCGAATACCTTATTTTATATTGCAGTATCTAGTTTTATTCATATATGTTGAGGCCAGACGTCATTTCATGAGATTCACATTTATTTATTTAACAGATGCATTTGTCCAAAGTTACATGCAGATACACTCTGGTAAATGTACCAATTTTCTGGTTCCCCTGCAACTATGAAAATGGGAATTCTGCCTGCTAACATACACTTAGATTTCCATTTAGTTTTCTCATTAACCTTTTTGTTCAGTCGCTTGCACCACTAAACTCTGACTAAAGCTGCAGCAGGCGACTTCTACTGTGCGCACGCAGGCGTGTACATTAACCGCAGTACATTCATGACTGTACAGACTAAATAATAGCATCGCCCCCACCCATTATGGCTGATTTCGCCGACTCCTACTGTTCCTAATGGTTCCTGTGTGAAAGCTCTGAATGAAGGAAATATCACCATACTTGTGATTTTGTTATTTTTTTTCGCCAAGTTTGGCTGGTGTGATGCCACACAGGGTCATACTGTACCTTCCTTTAGAAAGCGACCCGCGTTCCCCACAGACTGCGGCGTGACGCAGATGCCGTTGGATTACGGCGGAAAATGACTCCAAAGGGGCTGATCTTTATCTTTGGGTTCCCGGGCCTTATAATGTGACAGATTATCAGAGATCCATTCTAGCCCCTGGAATCCTTAGAGCAGTGCTTCTCAGCCTGGCTCTCAGGGACCCCCGAGATGGTCCACATTTTTGCTTCCTTACCGGGAGCAGGGAGGGAGCAAGAATAGGGACTCACTGTTAGGGAGCTGGGCAGGAGCAAAAATGTGGACCAGCTGAAGGTCCCCAGGGACCGGCTTGGGAAACACTGATCCAGGTAATCCTACCTGTTAATCCCTGGATGTGCCCCTCCCCTACAGTCCTACAGTATGAACAAACACATGCACACTGCCCTGTTTTAGGGGCTGTCACTAAGCACTGACTGTGTAAGTGCACATTAACTGAAAGTCTGTGTGTTTATACAGTATCTATGTGTCTTACTGTACCTTTTATTTGCCAAGCTGTGACTTTAAAATATGGCTACTGTACAAGCCTGCTTTGCAAGCACGCTGTCTGCATTGTAACATCTGAGTGTCGCCGCCGTACAGGTGCTGTTCTTATGTGGGCAGGAGGGGCGGGGGTCCCCAGGCCATCTCCATTGGGAAGAACTGTGACAAATTCGGCATAGTGGTTCATGAGCTGGGTCATGTGATCGGCTTCTGGCACGAGCACACGCGGCCCGACCGCGACGAGCACGTCAGCATCGTCAGGAGCAACATACAGCCAGGTAGCAGATCTCGCCGCCTCACTTCCTGCCTGCGTGCTGCTGGCTTCCACTGATCCCTTCCAAGGTGTATGATTACATGCCGGATGCGTTTTCCTATTGTCATTCACAAGTACGTGTGGATAGTGATTTCTGGTGTAAAGCACATTACAATTTAAGATAACCTGGCAAACTGGATGCCAGATTAACATATGTTATATTTAATAGTCCACTGATCCCTTCCAAGGTGTATGATTACATGCCGGATGCGTTTTCCTATTGTCATTCACAAGTACGTGTGGATAGTGATTTCTGGTGTAAAGCACATTACAATTTAAGATAACCTGGCAAACTGGATGCCAGATTAACATATGTTATATTTAATAGTCCAGTGTAATATGTGTGTTGTTTTCTTAGTAAGTAATGTTTCATTGTCCGATTGGAGTGACACTTTAACAACTAGTTTTCCAGCACAATAACTTGTGTGTCATGTGATGTTACGACTCGAGCCAGTCAATTTCAGGAGTGTTGTGAATGGTGTGGTTTTATGGTATTGTCTTAATGACCTCCATCCCCTCCCCACACACTGACACACGCACTCCTCAGGGCAGGAGTACAACTTCCTGAAGATGGAACCTGGGGAGGTGGACTCCCTGGGGGAAGTCTACGACTTCGACAGCATCATGCACTATGCCAGGAACACCTTCTCCAGGTCGGTGGTGCAGTAGATGGCGCTGCGGGTGGGGGGTTCCTCTTCTGAGGCAAATTTGTTGGGACGCAAGTTGAAAAGTTTGACCTTGCAAATCGGCTGCCTTGGCGATGTTCTTTCTTTGACTGTTGGAGTTGAGGAAGTTGCTTTTGTTGAGAGCCATTGAAGATAATCTACAGTACTGTGCAAAAGTCTTAGGCAGTCAAAAGAAACGTTTAAAGCTATTTATCTAGATAGTAAGTACATATTTTCTTTGAACAAGAAACACAATTTAACATTAGACATATGCAAATTAAAAGTAACACAATCAAAACTAAGAAAAATTTCTTCTGTTCTCCAAAAAATTACTGATATCTAGTTGGATGGCTAGATGAAAACCTCTCCCCAGGGGCACCGCAGCCGTTCCATGTGTTTATCGAATTTCACCACCAGTTCACTTAATTAACTTAATTAGTTAAAAAAAGTTAATGAGATATTGATTAGCTATGCGAGATGTGCTAGTGGTCGAGTCAAAAATGCACGGCTGAACTGGATGGTGGCTGGATTTAATGGGGTGATTTTAGCAGAGGTATTGGAACGGCTAAGCTAACACACTTTGACAGGCATACGACAACACCAACATAAAGATCATTTAAAGATCATTTTCTTGGGCTGCTTAAGACTTTTGCGCAGTACTCTATCTATCAGCAAGTCTCCCTCATCGACATACACCTTTATTTTGTGAACAACTTTTTATTTGAAAAGGAAAAAGCTGACGCTGTATTGGGCAGGTTGCAACACAGATTTGCAATGCAAAGCAATACCATCAGTGCCATCTATATAATCACGCTTATCACCGTCATTATAAAGGGCAGCAGAGGTGCACTCCCAGATGTTCTCCCACAATATAAATGACATTTGACCGCTCCTCAACAGCTTTAGCCTTTGCTCCCTGTCGATTAGCACCTGTTCTCTCGTGAATAGCAATGTGAAGCGTATTTGAAATCCAGGTCCTAAACAATGGTGAAACTATGCCTGGCGTATAGCTTTTTTTCTTTATTTGTGCCGCATGTAAGCGCTTGTGCTGTGGGACAAAATCGAGTGAGGGAGTGATCGTTTCGGAAAAACAAGCCGGCCGAGGTTGTTGTACCGCCAGTCCCCAGGTTACGATTGAGATTCCCTAAGTCCGTCTTTGAGTGGAATTATTAGGAAAATCGGAAGAATAAAAATACAGCACATAATAGTTACTATTATGCAGTAATAATAAAACTAACTACGTACATCACTGTGCTGTATGTCGAGCCGATGGACCGCTGAAGCTGCATAATTTTTTCAAGAGTGCCACAAAGTTGTGCAAGCGTTCTTTATTAGGAACCTATGAATTTAACCCGAATTTTTTTTATATAATAAGCATTATCTCAGTCTATTCATTTGTACGAGTTGTCTGTAAGTTGGACGTTCTTATTCCGGGGACTTCCTGTACTACAGCATAGGGCACTAGTTAACCGTGAGGTCGCTATTGACCACAGCCCAGAAATAATGAGATATTCCCAGAACACCGGGTGCATCCTGCTCACTGCCACATTCACACACAGGTGACAGTGCAGCCTTGAAAATTAATGCAAAGTAAATTAATTGGTGTGCTGTGTTTCTAGATGCAAGGAGATTATTGTCTCAGGCATGCATGAAAAGGGTTTGTAGCGCTTTGTCTTAATACATATATGCTGTGATCTTGGGATTTACCTGTGAGATGAAGCTGTTACACAAATGTCACGTCACATGCTTCTCTCCTGGCATGTTTTTAATCTGGGGATGATCAACTAAGGGACAATTTAATGCAATTTTGCTGGAATTTAACAATGAAAGAGTCTGTAAATAAAGAAGAAATGTGACTGGGAGAGAGAAGGTAGTTTTGATATCTTGTCATAGAGATTCCACAAGGTAAAAGCACCCCTAGAAGACCATGCGGGATTCTTTAATGGCTGCCCACCCAGCAGAAATACAGGATTGTGCCAAAAGGTGATGACACACAGGGCAACTTCTGAAGCAATGTTGCCAGACAGTGCTGCTGACCAGTTTTCCTTAGGCACTTTCCCATTGATTCTGGGCAACAAATTTCTACTTGAACAATTTTAATAGGCAGTGGGCAACTTTTCGCAATCATCCAGATCTAGATGTGTTGCCCTTTGTCTCAGCTGGTTGGTGATTGCCCAGCAACATGGCTCAAAAAGGTGCCGTGTGTATCATCATCTAAAGAGGAGAGTATAGGGTGTAAGTGTTCAAGCTGTAATTTTTGTAGTACTGTAAGAGAGTGTCCAGCGACAGGACTGTATTTGACAGAAAAGTCCAGCATTTTTTAGCCGAAAAAAGACTTGTAAGTGCTGTGTTCTCTTCATTTCTAAGAATAACTTTCTGAGTTCACACCCCAGCTATATGAAACCTTGGCAACAACTGTGCTGTAGTGTTAATTTCGTCAGACGAGACGAGACGAAATATGTTCGTCAACGACCTTTTTTTTCATGACTAAGACGAGACGATGACAAGACTGCACCACTGTCCAAAAACGCTGACTAAGACTAAATTAACATGGATTATTGTTGACGAAAAAAGACGAGACGAAAATGTTTTGCATAAAATAAAAACTAAGATAAAATCTCTCTTCATTTTCGTCTACAATCGTCTCTGCTTTTTCATCAGCTGTTACGGCTTTAAAATATTCAGAACGATTTCGCGGCTTCGCGCTGTTGCTCAAGTTACAGGTCTCATACTCCTGCTGAACACACAACACACAAAGCGAACACGAGTGACGAGCGACGACGACATGCTAGGTCGAAGGAAGAGGCTCGATATTTGGTCGCATTTTAAGTACAATGATACTGACAAAAAGTCAGAATGTGTCATCATAACTGACGGGAAACATTGCGGACAAAGAATTTCGGGGAAAACACCACCAACCTTAAACGACATCTTTGTAACTTAAGTTGTCAGTCGGAGTCTGTTGGGACCCAGCTTTTGAATTGTGTTGGTTAAAATAAAATGCTCTTCAGAACAGGTTAATCATTTGTGAATGTGTCTCCTAAATCAGAAATTGAAAACCAGACACGTTTAACATTTGCATTCAACAAAAATCATTCAACAAGTGTATTTTGTCAGGTAATTATGACATTTAACCAATGTTTGAGATATGTGAAACACTTTTTTTTTTACTGAAATGTGTATCAGTAATAATCTCAGTAATAATGTGTTATTTTAAAAAAGACTACAATTTTTTGACTAAAGCTAGACTAAAATATATTGAGTTCTTTTTTGACTAAAACTAGACTAAAATTAAAAGACTTTTAGTCGACTAAAACTTGACCAAGATACCTTGAGTTTTCTTTTGACTAAAACTAGACTAAAATGACGAGACTTTTAGTCGACTAAAACTTGACTAACAAAAAAAGATATGTGAATGACTAAATATGACTAAAACTAACAAGGACATTTGGCACAAGACTAAGACTAAGACTAAATTAAAAATAGGTGACGAAATTAACACTACTGTGCTGGAAGCTTCAGGGAGGCAGTATGTTGCAGTATGTTGCAGGGACAGCAATGCGGATTTTTTCAAATTTACTTTGTCGGCTGCAAATTGCCCATAATTTATAGATAATACCAGTGCATTTGGAATAGAGTTAACTGTGTCAGAAAGACACAGAAGAATATCGTCTGCTAATAAAGCGGCAGAGTAGGAAGGTGCTTTAACGTTAATCTACACACACCTTTGGTTCTGTTATATTTTTTCTGCAGTTGCATCCAGAGCTTGATCGTTCAAACCTCCATTGATGCTTCTCTGCAATGGCTATTGGATGATTTTGCTTCATGGATTATTCAGTAGTGTGCTCTTCTTCAGTCAGATGAATCAACCCTTATTCAATCAATCCTTTTTTTTTTACTATACAGCTTTAACTTTCCTATGTTCTTTGTTTCATGATTTTTCTCCATATCTTTTCTTTCAATAGCCTTCTACTATTTTTCCCCTTTGATGTAAATTCTTCAACAGCTTCAATATCTTTTCAATTTATTCTGAACTTTATAGTTCCGATGATCACCATATTTTTTGAGATTTTGAAGGCCGATTCTGCTTATTTTGATTCTTTGTTCGCTATTTTATTGTGATGCTCAACAAAACCTGCACATTTTTGTCATGTGTCAGGAGCAGGTGAGCCGGGAAGCAGGCGAGAGGAGCCGGACTGACGGGTAAACGGGGTTTTAATGGTGACGAGAAGGCAGACATCCACTAACACGCATAACAATACAATGACTAAGCTGGGGAAGACTGACTGAGACTCGGACTAAATACACAAGACAAGGCAAAAGGAATAGGCAGCAGGTGATGACAATCAGGAGTTAACACTAGGTAACGAGGGGGCGTGGCACACACGAGGATCGTACGGAGCTGGGCGTTACAATTTTATTGTCATGTATACCTGCAAATCTTTTTATTGTTTTAATAATAAGGGACACTTGTGTTGTAAGCATGCTGTTCAGTCTACATGTCGCCACCTGTGCAAGAGATGGATTTTCAATAAATGAAAAAAATGTAGTACATTTTTTCTTTGCAAACTTTTAAAAGATTTTGCTTACAAAAATCTGGATTTTTTTTCCAAACTGCTGCAAATTAGCAGCAAAACCAGAATGTAGAATTCATATTTTTATTCAGTGAAGTTCATGCTTTGTCCCACAATAGGCAGTTATATAGTCAATTTGTTTATTGTGCAGTTGATTAACAAACCATCTGATTCACAAAAATATTTTGTGTTACAATCAAGCTTTGTCTGACCTTTTGCACTGTTTTTCTTGCCAGTTTGAGGCAGTCTACGGCACTTGGTATTCCACCTTGCCTGCATGCTCTGCCAGGTTCCTCTTGAAACTTGTTGATTATTTTTTCTTCTGCATCTGTTGTTGGGGCTAAACTTGTATGACAGTAATATTCCTAATATTCCTTGGCCAATGTTGCTTGGACAGTAATATTCCTATTGTTC